TCTGATCCCAATTGTGGTAGTAAGCTGAGGACTACCTGTACTGATTACCAGATTCAATTCAGATGTAATCCTATGATTTTTAGAGCATCTGATTCAATTGGGATTAGAGTTTTTTGAAGTCACCTGATTCTACTCAAAGCTCATGTTCAAAATAAGATTTATTGATTAGCATGAGAAAACCACAGTGTAGCAAGTATTTCGATGCAGAAATTATCTTTAAAATCCTTAAAGCACATTTTTTTTTCTTGGCTCTCTTCCCCAGTTTCCAGTTTTAGCATTTATGGAGAAACCACAACACATGTCTCATTTTTTTTGCAGACACCCCTTTCTCTAATGCTTAAATCTCCAGAGACACCCCTGTACAGTTCTTAAGACATCTTGCAACATTTCCATTTCAATCTAGTTTGACTCAACATTTAAACTTCAGGGAAACCTAATGCATATCCATAATGTAGTTCTCTCCGACTCATTGAGTTTGAAAGCAACTGATGTGGCACCACCGCGTGTCTGACCCATTCACACTTATTTGACTACAGGAAGAACAAGGCAATTCTAGGAAACATTGAAAATATATATTTCTTCTTAGATCTTATTGCAACCAGCCGTTCAAGATTTTCACAAGATTCTACAGTTACCGTCTTGAGCAGTTACCTTCTTTCCTATAAAATTCAGTTTGTATTTTTTGCAGATTAGTAAAAAAATCTTCTTTCATATTCTAAAACCCTAATGTGCATATGAATTGTGTACATGTCTTGTTTCTGTACAGCTATAACAAAAATAACAATTTTTTTGCAAAAACACAGATTTGTCATAATTTGAAATAAATGTAAATAAATACACTTTACTGTGTATACTGCAGTTTATTAGAAGTTACATTAACCAATGTAGAGATAAGAAGAGCAGATAAAAGAGCTTCAAAATGGGAATCAGATAAAAAATATCCTTATCTGATTAGACCAGAAATACTTCCAGTATGAATGCTACTGTGAGGGGCAACTATACTTCGAGTTCTCTAGTAAAAATGTTTCATTGTTATTTCTGTATATAAATTGCAGCTTCCTAGATTTTGTCTAAATTATAAGGAAAAACTTCCAGATAGAGTGGCCCGTTCATTAGTGGAAAAATTTGCCTATGAAAGTTGTGGGGACTCCATCTCTGGAGATTTTTTTAAAAAAAGACTAGGCAGCTTCTTCTCATGGACAGTTGAATAATTTTCCTGCATGTGGCCGATGGTTGGATTAGAAGTGACCTCTTCTAATTCCACAGATCTATCATTTGTTCTACATGGGAATGAAATGGGTTTATCTGCAAAGAAATCTAAGTGTTAAGGGTGAATGATATAGGATATATAGTTTTGCCTTAGGGAACATGTCTTAATACACATACTGATAATCTTTATATTGTATATTTGTGACACTGTTAATGGTGATCTATAACAGCTGAAGTCCTATGACTCCTCAGATGAGCTGTGAATAATCTGTAGGGAATAAGAAGGATTTCCTTGATGGAGATATGCAAAAGCTGTTGCTTAAGCAAAGGGGGCTAAAGTATTATTAAGTCTGGAAACCCCCCCCCCAGATAACATTTGAAAGCATCTTATATAGATAACTACCTATTAATTCAAATGTATTGAGGAGGAAGAGGTATAGTACATCAGATTTGAAAAATTCTTTGATTAATCTCAGTAAAATCCTGTGGAGTTGATTTCCCTGTCCAGTCTACTTAATGGGGCTGACAGCCCAATAGTGTGTGATGGAGCCGTAATGATAAGGCCAATTCAGGAGGCAATAATGTGGTTCACTACAGCAGCTTTGCCTTATATATTTTAAAAAGCATTTCACATAATATTTGTAAAATATATAATCATATTCTCATCAAATTGATGCATATTCTCAATAATACAAATGTTTATCCAAGAGGATATTTTCCACTCCAATAGGACTATTAAGTCCAGTTGTACATCAAGAGTAGAAGAGTCAAGAGGAAACACTAACTCTTTTGGATTAAATAAAGAGAAATGAAAAAGAATTAAAACATTCTCTAGAGGAGACAAGTATTTCTCAACAAATTACACTTCTACAACTACAATTATCTTTATTAAGAGTAAGGGAAATGGAAATAAAAACGAATTCTGTATAGTAAATATATTGAGTTTGCAAATAAAACAGGGATGTGGCTAGCATATAAATTAAGAAAAACATTATACTGAAATTGTAAGAGAGGTATTACCTCTGTCTTGCAGCCTTACAAAAAGCATTGCATTAACATTATTCTAATTTATATAATAGAAGTGACATTTTCTGTAGAGAAAATAAAGACTATCTAAAGAAACACAATTTATCTTGTATTACAGAGGAACAGCGACAGATTATAAATACATCTGTCATTGTACAGAAAGTTTCTGAAGCTATAAAAAAGGGTAAAGTAGGAAAGGCTCTAGGACCAGATGGATTATCAGGTTCTTGTTATCAAAGTTTTGATACTTTTACAATCTTTACAAAACACAATTACTTCTGTCCTAAAGGGAGGAAAAATGCCAGAGAATTGGAAAAGGGTCAATATGGCATTAATTTCTAAGGAGGGACAAGATTTGATTTTAACAACAACAACAATAAAACCTATAGGCCCATATCATTATGGGTTGCCTTCAAACCTTCAAAGCACTTTTCAGGCATCATTCAATGAGGACTAACATGGAAGAGCTCCATAATAATAGTAATAATAATAATAATAATAATAATAATAATAATTTCTGACCTTAGCATGACATAGCTTCTTAAGACTGAAAAACCAAATCACACTGAAACTGCCTGAATCAGAAACTATATCTTACGCGGGACTCTCAATCAAACTTTTGGTGATCTGGGTCATGACCCACTCCATGGTGACCAGGGTAGATATGAATTCCCAAGCTGTCTCAGACTCTGTGCCTTAGGGAAGTTACATTGAAATTCTCCAGTACCACAGCTCTGAAGAGCTCCACTACCACTCCTGCAATAGTATTGAATTGTTTGGCAGGATGTCCACTTCAAACTACATTGTTATCTGATCTCCTAAGTCCAGCCTTACAGATAGAGTGTATAGCTATCTCTAAAGCAGGGGTCTTCAAACTTGGCCCTTTTATGACTTGTGGACTTCAACTCCCAGAATTCCTCAGCCAGGCACGTTGGCTGAGGAATTCTGGCAGTTGAAGTCCACAAGTCATAAAAGGGCCAAGTTTGAAGACCCCTGCTCTAAAGCAGCACCTCAGACAGCCATTGAAAGTCTTGCAAACAAGAATAGCCATTTTATCATCCCATTCCTGGGGTCATGGCTGGTCCTGTATTCAAAAAACAGGTAGAACTTATTAAATATTAGTGTTCAATGAGTTGCATCTTTAGCTTCAGTCCACTTGCAAAATGTTTGAATGGGTAGAAAATGTATTTTAGAACAGAAGACCCCCAAAATAGTTTAAGAGCATAATAGCCTTTCTCCCCCCCCCCAAGTTTATTATTCTATGTTAGAATGTGATTTAATTATTAACCATGCAGCAATGCTTTTGGAGAACATGTACGATCTTTAGCTCATTGTCCACAATGATGGATTGCATATTTTACAGATGAATGGAGAAAGAGTGACTTTCGTAAAGAAAAGTTGATGAAGTGAATATTTCTGGACACAGAAGGATCCTGATTCTGATCTTCTGCAAATTATTTCACCGTAACAAATGGTGTTGGTTTTCCTCATGAGATTCTCTATTTAGGAGTGCAGTGTAAGGGGGGGGGGGAAAGGAAGTTCAATGTGAATTGCCTACCAAAGCAGAGGAGAAAAGCCATTTAAAAGAAGAATCTGTGAACATGGAAATATAGTGTTTTCTCCATTTTTGTTTTTTATTATAATTGGTTTTAGAATCAGCACTTGCGGTATCCAAGAAATGATTGTTACAATTTCTTCTGCAAAGAATGAAGAAATATGGACTGCCTTGCAAATGAACATTTAATTGGCATTTTGTATATCCCACAGCTATTTTATTTCTTCTGGATTAAGAAAGGAAACACATACACACAGAAATAATTTTGCATTTTGTCAAGAACTTCAGTTAGTCTTTGACTGAAGAGTATTCCAAGTGTAAAACTTTGGAAAAATGTGTACTTTGCTAAATGAATGAACAGAAAAAAATATCTCTTTTCAGATAATTTTTTTCTGTTATGATTAGGTTTCTTTCTTTCCTTCTCTCTCTCTCTCTCTCTCTCTCTCTCTCTCTCTCTCTCTCTCTCTCTTTCTTTCTTTCTTTCTTTCTTTTTTTCTTTTCTTGCATGCCACCTATCTTGCCAAAGGCAACTCTAGGCAGCTTGCAGACATTGAATAAAATACAGTATAAAACATTAAAACATTAACAAAAATAAATAAAGATCTTAAATTTAAATATTCAATTAAAGTAAAACTAATATACACTTTATTTTATTTTGTATTATGTGTTTAACAATGATCCCACAAAGAATTATCCGTTTGGTTATTAATATGTTTTTTTTTTAGCTTTAGATTAGAAAAACTAAATTTAGTTTTTGAATATCAGACCAAAATTTTCATAAGTTCTTAATAACTAACTCTAGGTTACTGATAGCGCTGGGGCAGATAGATTCCTTTGTTTATTATTCCTTTGTTTATTATTTATTTATTTATTTAAATTTATATGCTGCCCATCTTGATCATAAGACTTTGTACTAGATGATAGATGATAGATGATAGACAGGCAGATGAGAGAGAGAGAGAGAGAGAGAGAGAATATTTTTTTTTCTAAACTACTGCTGATTTGGCTTCAAAATCATTTTTCCAGAATTTCCTAAAGTGAACTAAGTCCTATTATGAATTTCATGTTAGATTTTTTTTAAGATTGTCCTTTTCAAATAATTACTATTTTTTCTCATTCTCACCCATGATTTTTGATATAGACTTTATGCTTTTATCTGATGTTTATCAAAATCTCCCCTGTCTCTGTGTCTATATCCTTAAATATGCAGGGCAGGAAAGGATCGGAAAAGACTCTCACTATGAACAGGAGGGTCGAGTGCAGTTTGTGATCGATGCTGTTTATGCCTTGGCTCATGCCCTCCATCAGATGAACAAGGATCTGTGCAGTGATTATTCTGGGATCTGCCCAGAGATGGAACATGCAGGGGGCAAGAAACTACTGAGATATATACGCAGTGTTAACTTCAATGGTGAGTCCGTGTTCTTATATCTTATATCTTAGTTCATCTTAATAATCCTAAATAACTGGTTAACCAATACTTTGTTAACCTAATAATAATGATGTGATATAATGTAAAATGTGTTGCTTGAAGAGTTGTTTTGCTCAGGTTTACCAGGGGGATGAATTATTTTGAAACTTTCTGGCATTTATTTTTGTCTAACAACTTTCCTGTTACTATACGGCTAATTAAAAATGTAATGGGAGATAGATATCCAGTTTGGCCTAGAAGTTAAGGTACCATGCCAGAAACTAGATGTCTGTGAGTTCTAGTCCCACTTTAGGTGAGAAAGTAGACTGGGTGACTTTGGGGCTGTCAATCTCTCTCAGCCCAACCCACCTCACAGAGTAGCTGTTGTGGGGAAAATAGGTTGAGGAAGGAGAATTAAGTATGTTTGTCACCTATTATAAAATTAATAAAGGTGGGATAAAAATATTTCTATTCTGTTCTGTTCTGTTCTATTCTATTCTATTCTATTCTATTCTATTCTATTCTATATCCTCAGTTTTAAAACTCCAAGGGAAATGGGATTCAACACTGTTTTATAAGATATGTGAATGAATATTAATAAAATTAAACTAATACTTACAATCTATTGGTAATGATTGTACTTCAAAGCCATGTTGCTTGTTGCTGGTCTTCACTATGTGGTAATTCTATTGTCATAATATATGCATTTACAGTCCCACATTTATAAAATTTATGCAGTTAGTCTGTTGCAGAGAGTAAGGAAGAGGACTTGCAGGAATAGGCCAGATCCTTTGGCAAGGCAGTGATGGGAAAGACATTATTTAAGTCCAAAAGAGGAAGAGGGTATACACAAAAGACTCAGACATAGACACTGCCCTAATTCACATGAGTGGCTACTGAGGATTTTGGGAATAAAGCATTGTCAGACTTGAAGAATTCTATTACTAAAGTTATATTAATAACAAATATATTGTTTAAACTTTTTGTGGAACTGATTTCTTGGTTTTGATAAGGGAAGATTGGAATTAAAAAAAAGGGTGAAGGAACATCACATGTTAGGAAAAAAAGGTTGGAAAACAGGTGGTGGGAGATGGCAGGGATAGCACTCTCACATATTAGCTTGCATGAGTCATTATTTGTACTTGAAAAAGAAAAGAAACTGATTGCCAGAAAAGTTCCATTCTTTCTGACAGCCAGAGTAGAAATGGGCATAGAAGCATGCGGTTGAATCTGCTTTTGATCTTCCCCATTGCAAACCAAAAGATTATTCAAAAAAGAATATATTTTTCTGGTAAAAAACACCATTTCTCTGTCAGAAAATTTTTATCCAGCTTTAATCTTCTTGGTGGGAGGCTGGCACCAAGACAGAACTCTGTATCTATTGTTATAGACACAAACAAGAAGAAAAATAATACTGGAAGTTTTTAAGAAGAGACTGGGCAGCCATTTGTCTGAAATGGTATAAGGTTTCCTGCCTGAGCAGGAAAGGTCCATTCCATCATCATCATCATCATCATCATCATCATCATTATTAAGAAAGCTAACTCTCCCCCAAAAATACATAGGACTTATATGCACAGACAAACCTACATATATAAAATTATAATATATATATTTCAATAAATGGAAATTATAATTCCTTATAGTCATTCATAGCTATTCTACTTAGGCTGATTGATTCTACAGGCCATTGAATAGTTGGAGCTGTATATTCGTCTTTCCAATGCCGAACAATTATGTGATAGGGATACACTTCAAAAGAATACAAACATCTAAAAACACAAAATCTCAAAATTAAGTTAATGCATGCAATAACTTCTTTCCCAAGTGGAACAATTATTGAGTGCTATAAAAATGTATTTAAATAAAGTATTAATTCTTCTTCATCCCCAGCAATCTCACCATTTATACTACATTAAATTAAATGAAGTAATTTCTGAAATATTATTTCTTACTGGATTTCAATGAAGCCATTTCTGAAAAAAATATTTCTTATTGAAAACAATGTAATCTAAAATGTAGTAAGGAGCTGTGGTGATGCAGTAGGTAGAATGCAGTATTACAGGCTAATTCTGCTGACTGCCAGAAATTTGATTCTCATTGGCTCTAGATTGACTCAACCTTCCATCCTTCCGAGATTGGTAAAATCAGGACCCAGATTGTTGGGGGCAACTGGTAAACCAGTTAGAGAGGGCTGTAAAACACTGTGAACAGATATATAAGATTAAGTGCTACTGCTATTATTTTGCTGGAAGCTGTGAATCATTAAACATATGAATAAAATAGAATGGAAATATTTCAGATGTCAATAATAATAAGAATAATAAAGTTGGAAGGGATTCGGACAAATGGCTATCCAGTCTCTTCTTAAAAACTTCCAGTGTTGGAGCATTCACCGCTACTGGAGGCAGGTTTTTCCACTGGTTAATTGTTCTAATTGTCAGGAAGTTTCTCCTTAGTTCTAGGTTCCTTCTCTCCTTGATTAGTTTCCATCCGTTGCTTCTTGTCCTACCTTCAGGCACTTTATATAAATGTAAATCTGAGTGGTATTGAAGTTTTCAGTATTTTTAACATCTCTTTCTATTACTTAAGTAAAACTTGCAAAGAAAATAAGCAAAAACAAAGAAAAAGAAAACTGATATTTTTCTCACTCAAGGTTTTTAAGAAAAGATTGCACAGCTAACTATCTGAAATGGTATAGGGCCGGGGTAGGCAACCTTGGCTCTTTTATGACTCATGGACTTCAACTCCCAGAATTCCTGAGCTCAGGAATTCTGGGAGTTGAAGTCCATGAGTCATAAAAGAGCCAAGGTTGCCTACCCCTGGTATAGGGTCTCCTACTTGAGCAAGGAGTTGGATTCCTAGACCTTCAAGGACCCTTCCAGCTCTATTTTGATTGATTGATTGATTGATACATGTAAACATTCAAATGATGATTATAAAAAAGGAAACAACTATTTAAAAAGCAGAAAAAACAACAATAAAGAACAAAACATTATTTTTTTAAAAAAAACATTCTGATAGCCCTTCCTTTCTCCCCCCCTCCCTTTTTTCCCCTATGCTGCTAATTGCTGCTTGAATATTTTTGCACTATACTTTAGACATTATTACACATTTCTGTTTAGAGATGATGGTCATGATGATGATTGATGGGTTCTCTACTATGAAGACATAACCTTAGCAAATTGTTAATAGTCATCTTGACAGAGCTAGGAGGTTATATGGATGAGACCAGCATTTCTACACTTGATGACAAAACAAAGGAAGCAAGATTTAATGTTAACATTTGTTAATTATGTAAAAGGGAGAAGTTAAGGCTACAATTGGTTACTTAGGTTTTAGAAGTAATCTAAGATCAAAGAGTTTTAGAAGACAATTTTAGTATGAATTTCAAAAGAATCTGTGTTTCTATTATCGGAAGGATTTGACACCTTCTTTTCCCATAATCAGAAACAGGGCTTTTTTTCTCATAGTACGCCCAGAACAGAGTTCCCGTACCTTTTTTAGATGGAACCTTGTAGGGTAGGCAAGGCGGGTTGTATGATGTGTGTGAGTTCTGGCACCTTTTTTTTTTTTTTTTTTTAGAAAAAAGCACTGGTCAGGAATATAATAAAACACACTAGATGATCAATGGAGGTCAAAGAAAATATATTTATTCAACCCAGGTTTGTCAAGTAATATTGAGTGGCTGTTGTGATGGACTGCTCCTTTGTCTCCCTTCTGATAGAATTTTAGTTTAAAGTTTTAGTCAAGCTTTAGCAATAGAATGCAATGTGTTAGCTTATTACAATAGTTCTTGCTCTCTCAGTGTGAACATCTGTCTCCTGTGCAATCCTTCTTTTTATATTCTGTTAAAAATCTTTCACTGTTTATAGTTAACCACAATGTCTAAATAAATGGGAATTTTATATTTCCTAAACATTGGTCTTCTGATGAATAACATATATATATATATATATATATATATATATATATATATATATATATATATATATATATATATATATATATCTTCATTTGCATAGATTTTGCTCTCATTTATTTACAAAAGTCAGCCTTTTCTTTTATAAAATGGCTTTATTATGCCTTTACAATCTTTTATCAGTCTTTAATTTATACTTATTGTACAGTACATATATATAAGGAAAATATTATTGGAGAAAGAGATATCCAGGAAAGAAATGGTGAACTGAAGATGGCTCCTCAAAAAGTGGAGCTAAATACTGTGGTGGAATGAAGAGCTGGAGGGTAGACTAGCTCTTCAATAATTCCTCTCTAGACAAGAAGAGAATGTGAGATTGCTCACTTTACTTGGACTTCAGTAATGCATTTGATAAAGTAGACCACAACTTACTACTTGATAAGATAGAAAAAATGTGGATTATATAGCATCACCACCAGATGGATTCATAGCTGGCTGACCGGCCGTACTCAGTGTGTGGTCCTCAATGGAACCGCATCCACATGGAGGGAAATGTGTAGTGGAGTGCCCCAGGGCTCTGTGCTAGGCCCAGTGCTCTTCAACATCTTCATCAACAATTTGGATGAGGGGACAGAAGAGGAACTCATCAGATGTGCAGATGGCACCAAGCTGGCAGGAATAGTCAAAACTCTAAAAGATACAGAAGGATCTTGACAGACTTAAACATTGGACACTATCTAACAAAATGAAATTCAATGGTGAAAAAAGTAAGTTTCTACATTTAGGCAAGAAAAAACAAATGCACACTTACAGTATAGGTGGTATCTTGCTCAATAGTAGTAACTGTAAGAGGGATCTCAGAGTCCTAGTGGACAATCACTTAAATATGAGCAGGCAGTGTGCTGCAACTGCCAAAAAAGCAAACACAGTGCAAAGCTGCATTAACAAAGGGATAGAATCAAGATCGTGTGAAGTGTTAATAACACTGTATAATGCCTTGGTAAGACCACACTTGGAATACTACATCCAGTTTTGGTCATCACGATGTAAAAAAGATGTTGAGACTCTGGAAAGAGTACAGAGAAGAGAAACAAAGATGATTAGGGAACTGAAGGCTAAAACATATAAAGAACATTGCTTGATTTGGATATGTCTAGTTTATTGAAAAGAAGGTCCCTTCCTATTATTATTATTAGTAGTAGTAGTACTAATATTAGTGTTATGGATCATCGCACAGTCAGCCAGATGTTCAGACTGGATTTAGCATTTTGTCTATCTATCGAGTCCTTACCAAGGACCTGGGATAGGCAGATGTGGATGTTTGATGGTATTAAAAATATTGTCGCAGGATGGAAGCAGTTCCTAGTAAGGCTGCCTTTTGCAATTGACTAATGGCAAATTTGTCAATGCCAATGGTGTTCAAGTGGTGCTCCAGTTGTTTTGAGATTGCACCCAAGGAGCCTATGACTATTGGTACTACCCTTGCTTGCTTTTGCCACAGTCTTTCTATTTCTATTGTAGGTTTTTGTATTTTGTTATCTTCTCCACTTCTTTCTCGTCTATTCTGCTGTCTCCAGGCACTGCCATGTCAACTATCCAGACTTTTTTGTCTTTCTTATCAACTATTGTTAAGTGTTATGTTGCAGGTGCTTGTCTGTTTGAATTCTGAAGTCCCAGAGCAATTTAATTTTATCATTTTCTATGACTTTCTCTATTTTATGATCCCACCAGTTCTTGCTTACAGGTAAATGATATTTCTTGCAGATCTTCCAGTGCACCATTGTTGCTACTTTGTCATGCCGCTGCTTGTAGTCAGTGTGGGCGATCTTCTTGCAGCAGCTTACCAGGTGGTCCACTGTTTCTTCAGCTTCTTTGCATAGGCGGCACTTACTGTCTGTTGCTGTCTTCTCAATTTTGACTTTATAAGCATTTGTCCTTAAGGCTTGGTCTTGTACAGGCAGAATTAGTCCCTCAGTCTTTTTCTTTAATTTTCCTGCTCTTAGCCATTGCCAGGTCTTGTTATTATCTGCTTTCCCAGCTGTTTTCTTAGGTCCCATCTTTAAGTCTCTATCCTGGAATTTGTATTCAGTTATCTGTTTTATCTGCTCTTTCTCTAGTGTTGTTTTCTGGGATTTTTTTTTTTTTTTTGTAAAGTTAAATTGGACATGGATTGGTTTATATTTTCAAAGTTTTTTTGGATTTCTTTGTGGTTTGAAATCATTGTTGTTTGAATTAGTTGCAGCATATCATATATCTCCTCTTGAAAGGTATTTGTTTTTTTCTTAATTAGTTCTTTCTACAAATCTCTGATTTTCCATGATAGCCAAGAATCAAGGTTTTCTTTTCTGTACAAATAGCTTTGGAGTCACAGTTAAGTAGATATTTTCCTGAAGTTTATAATTCTCTCTTTGTCTATAGCCCAGATATTTTTCTTTTTTCTTTTTGTCACAGCTGTTTTCTATTGTTAGAGCTTTGAAGGTCAGAAGCACAAATTAGTTTTTCCAGATTTTGCCAAGCCATAGCTGTCATAGTCTTCATACACCACTAGATGTCAGCACCAGTTCATTTTTCATTTTTTAAAGTAAACAGTTGTCTTTAAAATGAGAATCTTAACCATTCAGCAATTTCAAACTTATCTAAATTTAGGTTTTATATTCATTTCATTTCATTTCTATATGTTTTAGTCCTCCATAAAAGGTTTAATTCACTGCTTCCATTAGTAAAAGGATGGGGCAAAGATCCCCCTCCTTCACTTTCGGAGGTTTTTTGCTTCTTGAGATTTTTTTTCCAGGAAATTAATTGATCAGTAGGATAGAGAAAATTGATGTTCTTACCCAGATTCAAATGTGCTGTTTACAATCAGCTTAAAGTAATACTTTTTTACTTTGGTTGCTTGTAGCTTGAGTTAGACTCTGAAGTTAGGCTAGCCTTTCTCCTGTTGGTTTCTGGAAGGCTTCTCCTTGACCGATCGGGTTGACCGCCATCTCTTTGTGATCCACGGGATTTCCTTCCTTTTTTGCCACCTCTTTGGGGGAACTTCTGGCCCATTTAGGGTCCCCTAACAGGAAGAAAATCAGCTATAGGGTACGGAGCCTCACAATCCCTTGGCTTCTGTGTTATTGTGAAAAACTGGAAGTCTTAAAAATAAGATTTTGGAATTAATTATAAAGAAACCTTCCTGTGAGAAATGGTTTTGTTTTGATTTTTTTAAAATAAATAAGATAAGACTAACATTGGATACTAAAAGGAGCTAAAATGAACTAAAATTTTCAATTAAAGGAGAACATTCAAATTCAACTTATAATTACAGAATTAAAAATACTTTAATATTGGATATATTGAAGAATATCTTTGAAGAATGCACCCAGAAGTTAATTTTAATAGTGTCTGCCTCTATAAATAGACTAGTTCTAAAAGATTTTATGAAAGAGGAACAATATTTGACATTATTAGGAATGATCTGAAAGTGTATTTTAAAGCGACAGGCTACAAGAATGACATGGGAAAAGATGTGACACTGGACTTCTAAAAGAAAGTGGTTGATACCTTAATAATTTTAAAAATATACAAGCCACAGACCAAGAATATGACTTAGATAATTTTCCTATACTGGATTTCCAAAAAAGGCCTGTTAAAATTTTGATGAATATTGTGAAATGGATCAAATAAAAAATGAAAAGAAATCACGTTCAGTGACATTATTTAAAGGGACTAAAGATCAGGACTGTTAGAAATAAAGGGAGCAACATAATATTGCTCTATTTGATCAAGGCTAAAATAGGCATGTCATTATATTGGTAATCTTTAACATATTTTATGATGAATCAGGAGTGAAATAGCAAGCTTTTAGGGATATGATTATAGATAAGAGAAGATAATTTGTTGCATTTTAAGAGAAAGTTATATGTTGCTAAAATTGTTTATACTTGTGATAAAGTCATTTCTTTATAGCTTTCTTTTTGTTTACTATATTTGTATTGTATCTTTTTCTTTCTTTTCTACACTTTTCGCTTTTCTTTTTTATCCTTTTTTAATTTCTACTACTTTCTATTGTTGTAATTTCACTTTTTAAATCAAATTATATATTTCAACAGTTTCAATGAATAATTAGCAATTTTCAGAAACTGCCAAAATATTAAATTCATGAGTTTAAAATAAGCCAAACACAAGGATTATTTGCTATGACCTATGTTGTTGTTTTTTCTCTTTCATAAGTATGGGGGTTAGTAGAATAAAAACAGATTTTGGAAAATTAAGCTATTTCGGGATGCTGGTCAAGATGTGCCACATCAAGACTATCTTCTGCTGGCTGTTTCTTTATGAAGCAAAGAGATTTTTTTCTGGGCAGAAAACCCACAAAATTATATTCTGAAGTTCTAATTTTTGATAAAAAAATAATTCTTATGTGATAGAATGGAGGAATGTCATATAACCTGTCCTACATATGATTTAAAATAGAAACAGGACAATTACTGCTCTTTTTTAGTTTCTTATTAAGCAAGAACCACATGGCTCATGACTATTAATCAAAAACTGATATAGAGGTAGAGCATTTTTAAAAGGACCATTTAATGCTGCTGATAGGAATTGGTGGGTAAGTTTAATTTCAGTTTTCAAAACCTTTAAGCTGGCATAACTGATCATTTTTCAAACATTTAGATTGGTTTGTGTTGATATATATATACAGTATTTTACTGGGTTAAAAGTAATTTTTTAATTATTCTTTTCTTAAAGATGTTCTTTTAATGTTATTTTTCATTATTGCTCCATTTTGTCTTTTATGTTTAATTTCTCTATCTGTTGCCAAGAGAACTTTGTTATTGGATAGCTTAAAATTGAACAAATGAAGAAATTTATTAATGCTTGTCAGTCATGCTCACAGAAACAAAACAAAGCAAGGATTTTTTTTTTTTAAAAAAAAAGTTTTGCCTGCTTTCTTTTTTCTTTTGCTTCACACCCTTTCTTAGGTAGTGCTGGCACTCCAGTGATGTTTAATAAGAATGGTGATGCACCAGGACGTTATGACATCTTTCAATATCAAACCACAAATACCTCCTTGCCAGGCTACCATCTGATAGGCCAATGGACAGATGACCTACAGCTCAATGTAGGTCCCCTTTATTTTCTTCTTTGATTGATGTTACAGTAAGAAGTATGCTAATTTTTTTGCCAAATACATGTTGAATATGTCTCTATTATTTTGTATAAGTTTCTTTTTGGATAATGAGAGAAATCTCACATGAATGAAAGCCTTGTATATTGTATGTTCCCATTATGTGCTTGGAACTTATGGTGATTCTTGTGAAGTGTTACAATCTTGGGGTTGGGAAGAATCCAAAATGATTCCAGCAAGTAGACTTACATAGTATAAGTTTACCAATTGTCTGTATTTTCCTTATTTGTAGAATTAAATCAGAATGTTCCATTCAGTAAAAATGCAGTATGTATTATAGATTCCATTATATAATTTCCCCCTGCAAAGAACTCCCTGATTAATAACTCTGAGTCTGTCTGCCTGTCTAATAATATGAAAAGATTTACAGCGGTGTATGATTTTTCAAAGTATGTTTGAAACAATATGGTTGATATCTCATTTGGAAGGGCCATTAATTGTATGGCAAATAAACATGATAGGAAACTTAATTGCTTGGACACACACAGACAAAATTCTTCATGTAATAGAACTAATGACTGGAGAAAAAGAGTTGATACTGAAATTTTGTTGCAACTGCATTAGCTGAAAAAATCTGAAATCTTCTGTTAATATTGACATCTCAATTGCCATAATTTCCTCAATATTATCTTATCCTAAACATAATATACTAAATGTATGAAAATATGTTGAGTCAAGTGAAAAAAGGATTGATTTAATAAATCATTAGTTCTTCCGATTACACACACACACACATACGTACGTGCGTGTGTGTCTATGTGTATGGCAGGAGTAGTGTCAGAGAAAAAAGGTATGTATGGTTGTGAAAGTTGGACCATAAGAAAGGCTGAGCGCCAAAGAATTGAGGCCTTTGAACTATGGTGCTGGAGAAGACTCCTGCGAGTCTCTTGGACTGCAAGGCATTCAAACCGGTCAGTCCTAAAAGAGATCAACCCTGACTGCTCTTTAGAAGGCCAGATCCTGAAGTTGAAACTCAAATACTTTGGCCATCTAATGAGAAGGAAGGACTCACTGAAGAAGGGCCTAATGCTGGGAAAGATTGAGAGCAATAGAAGAAGGGGACGACAGAGAATGAGATGGCTGGATGGAGTCACTGAAGCAGTAGGTATGAACTTAAATGGACTCCAAAAGATGGTGGAGGACAGGAAGACCTGGAGGAACGTTGTCCATGGGGTCATGATGGGTCAGACACGACTTCACAATTAACAACAACAAAGATAGACTTAGATGGTTGTGGTGGTTTATATGTATTTTGAGCAAAGCAAAAAAAAAAAAGTCCAAAAAATGTGATGAATGTTTCTACCCAAGATCCTTGAAAATAAAAATAAATAAATAAAAGAAGGGTGTGTGTATGTATGCATATATTTGTATGTGTTTCTCTCTCTGTGTGTGTGTGAAAGACTATATGGCCACATGTTGCTGCTATTCCAAAATATGAGGAAGTGATATTTTTGTAAGCAAAAGCTGCAGAAATATGAACATAGGCAAACCCTGTGAAGACTGTAAAATACACTTTGAAAAAAACACTACCACCATAGATATAGGTTCCTCTATAAACCTTTTCATGACTGATTTGGCACTGAAGTCTGAGCTCCTGTGGATTTACGTTTGATTAAATAAAAAAAGTGGCTGTATTCTCTGAATATCATAAACGAACAGATGCCTGATTTGATATATATGGGCTGCTATTCAGCTTACAATATGTTGGGATTAAATATTACTCCTTTAGAAAGGCAGGGAGAAAACTGTCCTTTTTCATGATCTGCTAAAGAATATGTGCCTGCTTTTGAATTTGTGATGATCATTTAACAGCCTTGTCTGGTATCCCATTTATCAGGGTAAGAATATTTCTGTCAGTCTCTCTCCCTTCCAAATACTGGATTTCAATGCCTAAAACCTGTCCAGCTGCTCATGCATTTTCAGGCCATGTCATGCTTTACAAAAATGCCAAATTATCTAAATTGCATTAATTTAAGGGGAAAGCTTTTTAAAGCTGTGATATTGTTGTCCAAATTTATGGAGATGATTCTGAAAAAAAGCAGAATGGGTATTAGCTAAAGGTAGTTCGGGGAGAAAAAATAATTGTGGTGAAGCATAAAAGAAAATCTGCCTTCTCTAATACTTTCTTTGCCTGTATGACTGTGAATGCAGTAAAACAGGGGTCTTCAAACTTGGCCCTTTTATGACTTGTGAACTTCAACTCCCAGAATTCCTCAGCCAGGCATGCTGGCTGAGGAATTCTGGGAGTTGAAGTCCACAAGTCATAAAAGGGCCAAGTCTGAAAACCCATGCAGTAAAATATTGTCTTGGCAGAGCTCTGCAGAATTATTCCACCCATTAAGTTGCTTTAGGTATCAGACTGAAATACGGAGCAGAGCATTATGTTGAGGCCTCCTGCTTCTTGATACCAAAACCCAAAGTCTGAGATATTTTTTTTTCTTTTTCTGACATATTTGTATCCCAGCTATAGTAATAGTTCCCCAGGTAAACTGAGGATGCAAGGCAGGTAGTTGAGATGGGTGAGAGTGTCATGCATGTTCAAAGAAATGGAAACCTGATTGCATTCCCAATATTCTTGAATTGATCGTCTTCATAACTGATTGTCTTCTTTCTCATGAAACAGCACAGATGAAATGTTAAAGAAGCAGTCTACACTTTGCTAAAGTATAACAACTACTATAATAATAGTAATTTAGTAATGTATTGAATTTGTATGCCTCTTGACTCTCAATGACTGTGAGTAACTCGCAACAAGCAAAGAAATTACAATAAAATCATTATAAAATTTAAAATAAAGATAAAAGATGGCAGACCCAATGAAGTGAGGGGGTCTCAATGTTCCTCCTCAAAGATCTGGGTGAAAAGTGTGAGGCATCCAGATCTCAGGAAGAACATCATTCTAGAGGACAGGTTCTCCTCCAGAGAATAGGCACTTCTGGAGTCCTGAGAGATGACATGGTTTAATCAAAGAAATTCAGAATGTGCCAACCATACAAGATCAAATTGGTCAGGCAGTTGTCAGTTCCCAGATAATGAAGCTCTGTACTACGTAGAGCTTTGTAAGTAACCATCAGGACCTTGAATCATACCTGGAAACAAAGATCAAAACTTGGGAGAGAATCTCTTCCCAAGGCAGACAATTTAGTGATGGATAGAAAAAAAGTTTGCCTGTTTTAAAAACATCTGGAGAGGGTTCACCTATGATTTCTTTATTTTTCCTTAATCTTCTAATTTTAAAATCCAATCTGTGGATAGTTACTCACCTTTCAACTCTTGATTATGACATATGCCTCTCCTGTTTTATATTATGCTTTTTGGTTTACCATTCATTTTGCATTTACTGAACTATAATAGTAGATGGTGCAGTAGAAAAGGTGTAGAAAACAAGAACTTTTTCATGGGCTTTGGAGGGTGGAAAAAAGAGGCAGATATCAATACTTGTCATGTTATCACTTTTGTAGTTAATCAAACTCAAGTATGTAATGGTGACATTTGCATGATAAAGTCCCAAGAATGGAAAAGCAATGAAGCAACTCTATGTTTTAAAGGTTCTGTTATATTTTCTATAATATACTAATATGTTCAATAATGCAGCAGCTAACTTTTTTATACTGACTTTAAAATATATATGTAGGTCTTTGGTTGTTCGGGTTTTCTCCCGCGTAAAATTGGAAGTGTCTTGGCAAAAACCACCAGATCCAAAATAAAAGCCTCCCCCATTAGCGAAGAGATCCAGCAAAGAATCATTCCCAGAGAGAAATCATCCAGATGCCCCCAACTCTATGGTCTCCCCAAGATACACAAAGAAGGAACCCCATTCAGACCTATAGTCAGCTCCATAGGCTCACCTCTACAAAACCTAGCCAAATTTCTCGCCAAACAACTACAGCCCTATGCAGAATCCATCACCTCACACGTAAAAAACTCATTCCAGTTTATAGAGATCATAAAGAAACAAAACTTACAGCCCAGCGACCTACTAGTGAGCTTCGATGTCATATCCCTCTTCACCCAAGTGCCTATCAAAGAAGCCTTGACAGCTATCCAAAACAAATATAACCCCCCCAAACACATCTTAGATCTGACCAACCACTGCCTATCCAACACATACTTCATCTATAATGGACAAAAATACAAACAAACAGAAGGAGCATCCATGGGATCACCCCTCTCACCTGTCATTGCCAACCTCTACATGGAACACTTTGAAACCCAAGCTCTAGAAAAATCGGATCACAAACCCAAACTCTGGCTCAGATACGTAGACGACACCTTCATAATCTGGCCACATGGGAAAGAAAAACTGGACAACTTCCTCACACACCTCAACAGCCTACACCCCAAAATACAGTTCACCATGGAAACAGAAGCTAACAACCAACTTCCATTCCTGGATGTCTTAGTCTACAAGAAATCCAATGGCTCCCTAGGACACACCATCTACCAGAAGAAAACACACACAAACCGCTATCTGCACGCTCTCTCACACCACCACCCAGCACAGATCAACTCTGTAGCCAAGACACTCATCTCCAGAACAAAACGCTTAGCTGACGAACAACACCTAAAACCCGAACTACACACTCTTATCAATGTACTAACATCCAATGGATTCCATAGAAATAAGATTACAAACCTAATCCAAAAGGAAACCCCCACTAAAATCCAAGACAAAGAACAAGAAAACGGCAAAGCCCTCCTCCCATATATAAAAGGCACCACAGACAGAATCAGTAAGATCCTCCATAAACACAACATCAAAACAGCATTCTGCACAAACAGAAAAATATCCACCATCCTTAGAAACCCCAAAGATAAAATTGAATTAGAAAATCAAGGAGTATACGAAATCCCATGCACCACTTGTCCCACCACATACATCGGACAAACCAACAGAAGAATAAGTGCACGCATTGAAGAACATAAGAACTCAGTCAAAAAAGAGGAACCAACATCTTCCCTGGTCCAACACCTTAAAGCCACAGGACATGAAATTGACTTTAAAAATACCAGAACCATTGCCAAAAGTGAACATTTTAATAACAGAATAATCAGAGAAGCCATCGAGATAGAAAAACGCCCACACAGCATGAACAAGCGAGATGATACTTCCCGCCTACCAGCCATTTGGAAACCCGCCCTTATTGACAAACGACTCCCTAACACAAAAAATGATACCAGACCCACACTCACAAAAACCACACAGGAGGTCACCACCACACATCCACACAAAAAACAAACCCAAAGCCACACCGATGACGAGGCACGACCACAAACCAGAAACCAGACCACAGCTGCATGATTAGCCACTTTAAACCCCTCCAGTCCATACATGAAGCAAACTGACACCCTCCATGAAGAGGAGACACGACCACGAATGCGAAGCCAGAAAATAGCAAGGCAGCCCAAAATCTTAAACCCCTCTGCAACTCAGACTAACCTGAACACAACCAAACAGAACACTCCCCCAGCCAATCAGAGCACAGCCAAGCCCCTAACCATTCAGAACACACTTCCACCCAATCAGAACACAGCCAAGCTCCCACCCAATCAGTTCATACCCCCACTGGCAGTTAAAAGGAAGAAACAGCTAAGACCACACATTGCTGCTCAAAGCATGAAGCTGAAAACACCAGCCTGAAGATGACGAATGGGACTTCGTCAAAACGTTGCCAAGACACTTCCAATTTTACGCGGGAATGGTTATAAAAATACGAATCCCGGGCATATTGTTCAATGATGCAATCTTCGATCTCCAGGAAGAGTATACTCCAGTTATTTATTGTTAAAACAACATTTAAAACAATAAAAACAGTTATATACAA